CCCACCCCATTCCCCCCACCCCGCCCAGGAAATGCGGCTGCAATCGGGTTAATGCATAATCTGGAGGCGACGTGACGGGACTTCCAAGGGGTTCCAGGCTATGCTGCGGGAGCTTCCCGGCCGCGGGAAGGGGCTGCCAAATCCTGGGACCCCGCCGTCCCTCGAGCCCTGCAGGGCTGCGCCCCTCCCCTAGGGGGAAGAACCTGATGGGGGAACTACAGCCTCTCTTAGGAAACTGGGGACGGAAACTCGCCCGAGCCCGGGACCCCCAGCCAGTTCAGGCGAGTAGGCGGCCCCTGCAGGCCGCTCCCCCGGCTGGCTAGGACCAATGTGGTCTGGGGGCTGTGGTGATTGGTCAGAACGGAGCGCAGGCCCGCCCACCTCCCGTTCCCGGGTCAGCTCGGGCCTCACTGCAGAGTGGAGGGCTCCCTCTGCAGTCCAGCTGAGACAATGTCGGGTTCGCGGTGGACGGCCAGCCACGCCCCCTCCTCAGCCCCGAGGTGGGCTCATCTCCAGCCAGCCGGTCTAGGTACCGGGGCGGGGAGCGGGGGAGAACTGAGATCCAGAGGGTACAAATCAGAGCCTAGCTTAGCTGAAGATTGAGGGGAAGGGAGAGGAGACCCCTTCTGTCCCTCCAGGGCTGGGTCTGCGGCACACCCCCTCACTCCAAGCCAGCCACAGATCTCTGAAGCAATGGAGGGTGAGTGGTAGAAGAGGCCCTTCTGGAGGAGGACCTTACCTCCCCTCCAAGGGGAGGTGCTCTCACTTGCTAATTTGTAGTATGACAAAGAAGTGAGGGTGGGGACCCAGGAAATGAAGCTGGAACCAGGGGAGCACCCCTCCCACACACATACAGCTGCCTGTCTACACCTATTGGTCACAGATAAGCCAGACCTAGAAGTCCCTCAGCCTAGATACAGACCCCCGCAGACCAGAAATGGGCTTCTGGGTCTCCAGCCAAATTACCCTGAACAGTCTGAAAGCTGAAATCTGAGTGTCCCCAGAGTCATGGACTTTAGCCCAAAGAAGTGTATGTTCTGTGTCTCCCATCTCCCCCCTCCACCCCGCCCTGCCCACCACCCCCATCTTGCCTGTGTCCAAGACTGACTCCATCTGGCTCCCATGGAGCTCTGGGGAAATTGGTATAGAAAGAAGCATTCTGTGTGAAAGCAGTTGTAGATTTTGCCAAATTAGGTGCCCCCATCTGGGACAAGCTCTTCCACATGGACTGGAGGCACCCTTCATTCTTGGAGGCCTCTCCATTACGTGAAGCCCTGAAGGCAGGTGTGTCTGTTGGAGAATAGTCTCCATTCAGCAGCTTGCTCCATGGTGATGTGTGTTCAAGGCCCTGCCCCCACCCCTCCCTAGACCAGTGCAGACTGGACAAGGCAGGCTGATGCGTCCTGGAGGGCCAAGAGGCCCCAAGGCCCTGATTGGTGTGGAGGAGCCTACCTCACAGCCCACCCAGTCAGGCCCTGGGACCTCATCCTCTCCCCACTTCCAGGGGTGCTGGTCCCAGCAGGATCCTGTCCACATCTTCCCCTCCCGGTACTGTCTGCTGACCCAGACGTGGGGGTTGGGAACCAGCTGTGCAGAGGCTGACTAGGGCTCAGTCTGGATGGAGCTAGGGGTGGGCTCCAGCAGAGGTGCCTCTTTTCTTTCTCTAGAAGTTAATTTCCCAAAGGTGTGGGGACATCATCAATTTGTCCAAGGGGTGGGTGGGAGTGGATCACTGTTTTGATCTCACTAGACTTGTCCCTTGTGCTCGCTTCGGCAGCACATATACTAAAATTAGACTTGTCCCTTAACTTGGCAACCCCAGCCTAGTGACCACCCAGTGACCCTGGGTCTCCTTATCCCACTTCCTCCTCTGTCCCTCCCCCAGCCTCAACAGCAGGGATGCAGAAGCCAGGGGTGCTGGGGGAAGGACCAAACGTGAGGTGCCATTTAATTTTGCATCAACTTTTATTACCCACACTTGATCAGGGACTCGGGCGGGTGGCCCTCAGCGCTGCCCTCTTGGTCCTGCCCACTCCCCACCCCCACCCCCCCGCAGGCGTAAATTCATGAACACAGTGCACTGGGGTGTGAGGCCATAGTCCCCCAGCTGGTGCTGGTCGTCCATGGGCTTCCCCTGGAAACTCAGCCAGAACAGGTCAGCTTGTACATGCTCCTGCCGGCACACCTGCTGCTTGAGCTCAGCCACAGTCTGCGTCAGCCGGACCTCGTAGGCGGTATTGCGACCCTTGTCGTTTCTCACCAGGATGCTCAGCGGGTTGTCACAGCTCTGTACCACCAGCAGGACCGTGCTGCCAGGGCACAGGCCCTGGCTGTCAAGGGGGACCCCATCCTTCAGCACTTCGCCGGCAGGGTGGGTAACCAGGCGCTGCTGGAACACAGGCACGCCGGATTTCTGGGCTATCTGCTGCTTCAGCTCCAGGGCCAGCATGGAGTCCCTCAGGAGTACCAGGAACTCCTCACCCCCCAGCATCTTCACCTTCAGGGTCCCCGCCTGTGGGATCACACAGACTCAGAACTCGGCATCGGTCCTGGGAATGCTGCTCTTTCCTCCCCACCCTCCAGGAAAGGGACCCCAGGGGCTGGAGGCAAGCAGGGAGCGTATCCAGAAGAAAGGCCAGCCACCCACAACCATCATCTCACCTCCCCTAACTCACTAAGATGCCCCTCTGTGCCAATGCCAAGGGGATCTCAGGGTTAAACACTGGGCAGAACGTGCTTTCCAAGATCCAGACCCCAACCCGACATCAGAAAGAGACCTGTCCCTCCCCTCATGCTTAGGGACCTGGGGGAGCTCCAAGCAACTCCACTCGCCTGGCACACAGTGGGTGTTCCCCCCTGGATGACCCCAGCAGTGAAGTAGGAAAATAGACTGGTACAGAGCCCACCTGCCCCCACCTATCAAACACCCCTCACCATGACTGTGGTCTCTGGCACCGGATCTTCCACAGGCACAGACGAGTGGGCTGCCTCTCAGCCTCCAGCTCTTCTCCTGCTCGGCCCTTTTATGAACCTGAGCCGTGCACGTCAGGGGGAGTGTCCGGGAGAGAGCCTCACTAGTGGCTGAATTTAGCTTCAGTTTCAGTTTCCTTTTCCCAAGGTGTGCCCCAGTGAGTAGGAAAAACAAAACAGAATGACAAGGATAAGAGCCGGGACTATCCACGTTCCCAGGGACTCAGGACAACACCTTGCCCCAGAAACCCCCTAAATGTCCAGCACTTCAGATTCTTTACAAGATGCACGGAAGTCATAATAACATGAACTAACGATTGGAAACTTTCACTTTCCATTTTCCAATCTGCAGAATTAGTAAGCTAGGAAAACATTGCCTCAATAATTCAGAAATAACAAAATAGTGACAATCCAAACTACCCAGAGATAATCACCTTTGGTTTAAGACGGTATTTATTCAGATTGTTGGTTTTTTTATTTTATTTTATTTTGTTTTTTAAGATTTTATTTATTTGACAGAGAGAGACACAGCGAGAGAGGGAACACAAGCAGGGGGAGTGGGAGAGGGAGAAGCAGGCT